ATTTCTGAAAAAATTTTAAGGAGGGAAAGAGGGGGGGAAATTAAAAAAAAAATTTAATTGTTTTTTATGAAACTACATTTTTTAAAATAATTAGTAATTTTTCATTCAAAAGTATGGAAAATTCTCTACTAAAAACACTAATACAACTTTAAAATCCATTGATATGGGTAAAAGATATTGCCATTTGAAAATTATACTGAAAAAATTGAGCCCCTGATAACATGGCAACCACGCATTACACAGACCTAAAAACCTACTATACATACTTGTTTTTATGTATACTTTAACATACTTCATTTCCAAAAAGAAATTTTTTTAGGGTGGCTTTTATGTTAGAGAATGCCTCATATTCTACCCCTCTAATTGCAATGAAACTTATAGAAAATGTACTTAGTAGTTTTCTTCTTGAAATTGGGCAAAAAAACATGAAGATATTTTATGATTTTATCAATTTTAGCAACAGTTTAAACAAATAATTGTTATTTAGAAATGAAGGGCTGGCTGCAATAAGGGGACGAACGCGTTGTTGAAAGGTATAATACCAGTCAGGTAGCAGTAAGCGGCTCAAGGCTTGTCACTGCTACCCGACTGGCAGTATCCCATCAAAACTATTTTTCTGCGAAGATAATTAGTTATTAAAAATAATTTCATATTTTCCAACAGCAAAAACAAAAATTTGTATTAAGTTCACTTAATCTGGCAATCATCAGCAAACAAAAATATGTGATGAGAATGTAATCCTTAAAGTCGTAGTAACTTAAAAAAAAATGGTTTCAGGAAACGTATATAGGAAACAGGATAAAGAACGCAAATAATGCACAACGGTCTAGGACAACTGCGAGCTATTTGCGCGCACAGCGCGACTACCAAAATTCGCGCGCCCCGAGGCGCGCTGAAACTTGCGAGCGTAGCGAGTCCCCCGCGCGAAGCGCGGATGAGAATGTGTCCGCCCGAAGGGCGGGCAGATTTTTTCTACTTCATTTACTATATATCCATTGTTAGTCTCCATCTTTAATACAATTTCTTTAAGAAGAGAAATATTTTATGAATAATAACTATTTATTAATATTATTTACCATTTTGTTGTTAAATTATTTATAATTATTGATTTACGACTAATTAATAACAATACGGCATTTATTGCGGCAATATTCTCAGCCAGCGCTGTCTGGCAGCACTGGCAGGCAGTACTTCGCCAGCGTTATCATCCCAGAGTTATGCCAGTGCTATCTGTCAGCGTAGCTGCCAGTACTGACAGTGCTGGCGCAGTACTCCGCCAGTTGTAAATTTCCCATTGGGCGTTTATGTGGCTTTATATTCATGGCGCATGCGTGTGTTGCTACTATACTAGATTTGCACGTTACGGTCAAGTTGATGTTTTGTTTTCGTCGCTCGCTGTAGCTTGAGTTCTCTTTCACTGCTTTTGAGCTGTAATTATCAAGATTCTTCAAGTAACTTATTCATATACATTCCATATTAGCTGGATACGTAACAATATTGCATTTACTTGACCGTAAAGCACAAATCTGGTCGTAGCGATACACTCATGTACTATGAATATGAAGCCAGATAAACGTTCAAAAATCCACATTGAGAAAAAATATTCTTGTTTTGAGAGGAACATTCCTCTTGCAAAAATCTTTTTGAATCAAGAATATTCCTCTTAATTAAAGAGTATTTTCCGCTTCTTTTAAGACGAATATTCTTAAGTGGAGATTAATCCTCTTAAAATAAGAGAATTATTTTTGAGCCATATACAAGAGAAAAATCAGTGGCGGATTTAGAAGCAAATTATGGGGGGGGAGATTCGTAAATTAAAACCTTATAGTAATGAAGGCATAGATATTAATACCTAATATTACACTGCGAGTAAAGGTACACTCTCACCTCTACTGCCTGCCTGCCTGCGCAGGCAGGCGCAATGAGAGTAAGAGAGAAAAAACATTTAATTTGAATTTTCTGACTCTCTTACTCTTATGTGTTACCATGGCAACCTGCAGGCAGGCAGTAGGAGCTGTATCAGCGCCTTTATAGAGTTTGGGGGGGGGGAGGCGATCGCCCCACCGTGGATCCGCGCCTAAGAAAAATATGCATTTGAATAAGAGGAATCCGCTTAAAACAAGAATATTTTTTTCTATCGAAAACTCAAATCTGCAGGTTGAAAAACAGTCAGGTCTCAAAACTGTAACAATGACTGAAATTAACTCTACTCCTGGACTTGAAACTGTAACACACCCCACTATTTACCTCCTTAGGAACGCCCACGCACAAATTTTGTGTGTGGCCCATGTAAAGAATGAAAACAAGTACGTAAAATATTAATATTTTACTTTCAATTAGCAATTGTAACTTAAATAATACTGTTAAACGCGTTATAACGCTGGGACTACTTGACGTATATAGCGTACTCACGCGCATAAAACGTTCTAAAAAATATCAATTTTTTGAATCCCATTTTTGGTTTTACATATTTTTGTTGGAAAAAATCAAGCTTTCGATATATTGTATTTTTAAAAAAACCAAAATGGGCGCATAGGGAGAAAAACACAAAAATATTAGAAAATATTCTTAAAATTCAAAAAAATAGGTTAAGTTTTTTTATTTTTAAAAACTAATAGCATTTTTGAAAAGCACCTATAACAAATTAAAATCAAGTAATTGTAATGAAAGTTATGATTAATTGAAAATCACCGTGCGCAGTGAGAGCAAATATATTCGGGCCTCTGTATGTTGACAACCCGTCATACTACCCTGCCATTTTTACATATTTCATAAAGCTCCAATAACACTACAATTTAAAAGTAATTTGACAAAAATCGAAGGCTATAAAATTTTTGGCGGTATCACTTGGAAAATTTTTACCCTTATGGGAGATTCGACTCTAGTTGACCTTTTATAACAATCATTACCTTTTGTTTTCGAGAATATAAAAAAATTGTGGCTGAGAGCTTTGTGTGTCATTTTATACTATAAAAAACCTTAAAGGGCACCTATGCACTGATAGAAAAAGATTAGTCGATTTTGACATCAAATTGATGCTTAAAAAATTATGTTTAATTTTCCAAAACAAATAAGAAATTATAAAATGCATATAAGTTGTCAAATAAGTATTGCTAATTCTTAAATCAAATAGAAAAATTATCAATCACAGATGGATGTATCTTTAATAGTAATAAAGTACTCTCCCACCTCTACTGCCTGCCTGCCTGCGCAGGCAGGCGCAATGAGAGTAAGGGAGAAAAAACATTTAATTTGAATTTTCTGCTTCTCTTACTCTTATGTGTTACCATGACGACCTGCAGGCAGGCAGGCAGTAGAGCTGTGCGAGCGCCTATATAGTGTATAATCAATTTAAAAAGAAATATGGGTGTTCGACCATACTTTTCTATCCATGTTTTTATAAACAATGCGATCTGTTATGGAATTGCTATAAATATATAATACTTAAGTATCAGAATAATTCCTGTTTATGAATTCGTATTTATAAAAAACCAGAAATTGTGAGTAATATCATTTTCTCATCTTTGGAGCCGTTCAAAAAATACGTAACGCTTTTTGAGGGGAGGGGGGGTCGAGCTATTTGTTACGGTCAGCAGAAAAAATGTCGCTAATGTATACAACATTGCGTTACATGGGGGGAGGGGGGGGTCCAAATTTCCGAAAAATAGCGTTACGTATTTTTGAACGGACCCTTTCTTGTTCAAAAACTTTTGTGTAATTATTAAACTATTATAACCATCTTATAGAATACATAAAAATACATTTTTCGGACCAAAAATTTTTCATTTTTAACCCGTTTATGAAAAGTAATTCTTATATTTCAATTATTATTATTTCTACACTGAGAAAACTGGAGTATTGGACTAAACATCTGGAGGGACAAATCGTTGATATTTGAGAGTTAGCTATTGGATAACAATCTAAATGTTCAAATACACCATTGACAGTTATTCGTGCCATTTCTCTTGGAGGGAAAATGAGTTTATAACAGAGGGACAAATTAACCATCTTGAGAAATCCCTTCCTTATCCGGCGCGAAATGAATAAATATGGCAACCTAACCCCTAAATTAAATACATAAAATGTCAGAAAAATAATTTCGCGCGCATCAGATCGTACACATTTTCTGCGCAACTTTTGACCCTCAGATATAATGGGAGAGAATACACAAGTAGATTCCCATTATCAATTCAAAATTTATTTTAGAAGGACTATTCAACTCTCTTCATAAGCAAAGGAAACATACACTTTTTGAACCTCTGAATTTGACTCTCCAGTTTTCTCAGTGTATGAGGAAGCAAAGTGTTCATGAAATGAACACAAAGAGAATTACAGAAACATACAACTTGACACTTTTATTCTTGAGGTTATTGGCATCGATCGAATACAAGTCTGTTCTTCTAAGGATCCTTTATAAACGGATCTTAAATAGGTTTTTTAGGGTTTCGTGGCCCATGGCCGAAAGCCTTATAGTTTCACTTTGGCGTCCGTCCGTCCGTCTGTCCGTCGTAATTTGGGGCACTATAGATCCCAAATTTGGGGCATTATAGATCCCAAATTTGGGGCACTATAGATCCCAAATTTGGGGCACTATAGATCCCAAATCAGTCAGTCAGTCTTAACCACAATGGTTTATGATAACCAAAACAGGATTTTCTTTTTAAATGCAACGAAACCCTAGATGTAGGCGTTTTGCGCCTGCTTCTCTTCCAATTTTTTATAAGAACTTTTAAAGGATCTTGCAGGATCCTATGTAGGAACCTTCGAAGGAATTTTTAATAAGGATGACCGTTATTGCCAGTGTCTTTTCAATATCATAACTTAATTTAATAAATCTTTTTTGTTTTAAATATAATTTAAGTCTCTGTAATTTAATAACTCGTGGAACACACAAAAATTTCAAATAATATTTATAAATTAAAACGAACCGTTATAATCTTCTCAAATAGTTCTAAATTCTAAAATTGGGAATTTTCATAATTTCTTAAAATTTTTTCCAGTGATAACAAAATGACAGGTTTCAGTAGGATTTTAAAAAATTAAACACGATGTGTTTACAAATTACGATTATATGAAGATAAATATAATTGTTTTGTAAACTTACAAAACAATGCATTTTTCTATACCAAACACCCAAGAATTATTAGACCAATCTGGAAACAGTTTTTTGGTAAGTGTTAATAATTTTTAAATTAACAGAGTTAAAAAACTTTGTTCTCAATAGTGATTAACGATAAACCACTTTTTCAAGAGATTTTTATTTTGACAGGGGTATAATATACATATAAACGGACTATTCCACTGCACTGTAAGATACAAACAATTTCACAATTTACACGAGAAGATAATTAAAGACTTTGACGCAATTCTGCTGTCTTTTCCACCTAAAAAATTTTTTCCCCTAACTGTTAATCAACAGGAAGATCGCCGCAGAGCTCTTGAGAAATATATGCAAACATTAGGACAGAACACATCAATTGTTAAATCAAGATTGTTAAATGCATTCTTACTCAATGCTCAAATCGAAACAAATGGAAGTACCATAAAATCTGAGAATTTCAATGTATATTTGTACAATTGGCAAAAAATTACACTTGAAGTCGCAAATACTGACAACTCAAAACAGATTTTAAAAGTAAGTAAAAAGTAATTATTACAGTGAAACAATATGCAATAATATTTTAGAAGCACAAGTGAAATATACCCTATCTCAATTGAAAAAATACCCGTATAATTTCACGTATTTTTACACGTGTAATATGCAATATTTTTTAATTTTTAATTCAATAATATATACAAATAAATTCGTCTTGATGAAAAGAACAGGATTTTTGATTCATCCTCATTCAATCCAAAGTAATGGAAAAAATTTTTTTTCCTTGTTTTTTTAAAAGGAACTTAAGGTAGTTCTCCGGCTGCTACTCTTGTAAAAATTGATTTTATATAGATTTTATTCAAATTTTGAGAAAATGTTTCTTTAGGTGCCCTTTAAATGTGGTAAAAATTTCAAAACACTTTGTCATGTCTAAGAACGAGATATTTCGGTTGACATTTTTCATTTTTAACATAAACGCATGTAAAAGTGAAAGTTTGAACTTGAATAACTCAAAATTTAGCATCACAAAGGTTTTACTCGGGTTTTACCACATTTACAGGGCACCCGAAGAAACATTTTCTCAAAATTTGATGAAAATCTATAGAAAATTAATTTTTTCAAGAGTAGCAGCCAGAGAACTACCTTAACATTTTGCAAATAATTGTAATTGATAAATTGAACTTATAAAAATTATTTTCTTTTATTTTTAAAATATCTTTGAATTTTCTTTTAAAAATTGTAATTGACAAATAGAAATGGTGAAAAATATTGATTTAAAAAAAAAATTTTACAAAAAATTCTTCAAACGTGAGGGAATTTTAATCGAAAGAAACCACAAATTAAGAAACTTTGCAAAAATGAATGTTCACTTTTTGTGTTTAGATTGATCTTATGTTTTTCCTTATAAATAAAATTGTTACTTGGAAACAGTATCAATTTTTTAATCAGTTATGCAGAATTATAAGTAATTAAAAAATTTATAAATCAGGGAAAAAGAAGAATCAGTCGGGGGAAAGTCAGGAAATTTTGAAAATATAGAATTTATTTAAATTTGGATTAATTAAAATATAAATCTATTGATATTTTAGAAAAAATTTATTTGATTAAGTATTATATATTAGAAGAATTGAAAATTCAGATCGTAATTTAAAATAATAATGTTTAAATAAAAATTTCTACAAAAATATAAAGTTAAGTTTGAATTAACAGTATATTTTCACCTAAAAAGAGTTAAATCGGACAATTACACTACCGCCCACGAGTATCAGGACGATTACAAGCGACTCTGTGAAAAAACATGCCTTCTCTTTTTCAATCATATCTCGGAAATAAAAGGAGGTACAAAAAAAACTTAAATACGGTTAGAAAGCTGATTAAATTTTGCGTAAAATAAGCTGTCTTTGAAGTCATTTCGTTAACTATTTCTTGAGTTGTGGAGTGAGAAAGAAATAAAAAAAATTATTATTCGTGATACATATTCGTTCAAAAACACAAATTGAGCGATAATTCTTTTTTGGTCCATTGTTATTTTTAATTTAAATAGTGATTCTTGCCCTCTATTTGAAAGAACTGTGCTCTCTAAATCTGAATTAGTAGAAATTTTACCTTTTCAATTAGTATGTTAATATTTTACTAATGAATTAGTAGAATTATGAAATTTTACTAATGAATTAGTAGAATGACTATGCAGTGCCTATAACTAATAAATAATAAATAATAAACGTGGTGTACACAGCATATCAAGTGACTCGTATAATTTTGAATACTTTTTGTAAGTGTTAAGTGCTAGAAAAGAATTCTTGTGCTAAATCTGCTAAGATCGTTTAGATTTTGGTGATATTTAGAGAAATTTTTATTTCTTGAAAAACTCTGGAAGTGCTAATAATACAATTTTGATAGTGTTGTCTGTGTGTAATTGTGATAATTTTTTAATCTATTTTAAAATGAACTAAATTTTCGTTTAATATTTAATTTTATCAATTTATTCTTTATTTTCTTTGTGTAAATTAATAATGTGTCTTTAAAAAATACTTAATTCTAAATATTGGTTAAAATTTCTAAGAATAAATATTTTACTAATTCATTTAGTAAGAACTAATTCTACTAAAAATTAGTAGAATTTTACTAATTCAGATTTATAGAGTGGATAGATCGGAAGCGATGTAGAATTATAGCAGTTCTCTATATCTTTATTAATCAAATTATTTCTCATTTTACAAATGAGATTTTCTCTTCTCAAAATCAATGAGTCCAATGTTAGGTTGTCCCAAACATCCGCCTCATCTATCTGTTTAAAGAGAAATTCTCTGACTTGAACTGTCCAATTATATTCACCTTTTGTAGGGTCAGAATTGGCTAACTGTTTTAATTTTAGAAAACAAATTTTTGGGAATCTGTCCTCTGGCATTTCTAATTCTCAAGCTCATTCAGGGATCCCAGCCCCCAAACCAATATGTCATAAAAAACCATAGAGGAAACAAGAGCATTAAAGAGTTTCTTGCATGTATTTAAATCAATTATTTTAATTTTATTAATTAAATTTATCGTCGGTTGTATGGCGTTTTTTCCTTTAGATAACATTAAGCTCGTAGCCTCGCTGTAAGTACCTGATTGTACGAAAGGGACACCCAAATATATATATATATTCTTTTACATATTTTTTTTTACATATTTTACAAAACTGATTTCCTTGCCGTTGTACATGAATAGTGTCATTTTTTTGTGTCCATGACCCCCCTTTTGAAACAATATAATTTTTTATTTTTCCATATTCATCTCAAGTTTACTTAAATCAAAGTACTCTTGGAGATATTTTATCAGCTTTTTTTAGATTTACATAAGAGTCAGAAAGAAATACTTTATCATCAGCGTATGCCAGTAAAATTGTTTCTTTTAAATGGTTAAGCGCAATTCCTCTTACCCCTTTATTATACAAAAATTCTTCACCGACAGATTAGCTCAGTCAGATAGATGCCTCGCTTGGCGGTCGTTTAAGGACCAAGGGTAAGTACCCTTGGTTCGCGCCCATTTGGCTTGGTATTTTTCCGGCACGTGAGATAATCTGAGCGGGAGGTTTGACGTCGAGGTATAATGATGTGCACCGTCGATTATTGTCCTGTACAAACCATTAGAACTCGACTGTCGATAAACCGATTGTACTCAGGAGAGGTTTTCTACAGTTTCCCTCTCCACTGGCGAGAAAACCCATTAGACGGGTGGTCCACACTGCAAAAATAGGTGTCTTTTTTAATATCTTAAAATAAGATGTAAGATGGAAAAATGGTATCTTACATCTTAAAATAAGATGTTTTCTAAAGCATGTTACTGATATTTAAGATGCTTTATACGTTTTAGCAGTGTAAAGATATTTCTTCCATCTTAGAAAAGTAAGATACTTTTGTAAGTTCTTTAAAGTATCTTAAATTAAGATGTTTCTGTTGCAATAAGATGTTTAGCGATAAGTTACTTGAGAATCGTAAGATGCGCCATAAGTGTAAGTTACTAAAAACTAAGATACATAAAGTGTTTTCCATAAGAGCCCATAGTTAACCTCAAAACTTTTTACCCCAAAAATACACAGAAAATGTGTACGAAGATACTTTTAACATCTTAAATTAAGATGTTTCAAGTAACTAAAAAGTGTCTACCAAAACATCTTAGAAATGACTACCAAAACATCTTAAATTAAGATACTTCTTTTTGCAGTGCAGGCAAATGCGAGTACTCCTAATTTTCAAGTCGTTCTGTAGGCGCAAAACTTAGTATTAGGAAATGTATATTTATTTATTTATTTATTTAAGTCTCAGCCCATAATCACAAGGATCATTAATGGGCAATACAAACAAGATATTAAAATATAAAACATTATGATAATATTGAAACAAATGATAAAGTTTTTGAAAATGCGAAGTATTATTTGATTGACAATAATTACTCGTAAAAATAGTAGATGTAAAAAGATCTATATCGAGATAGTGATTCAGAATTAATGTTGCTATGGAAAAATTCATTAGAGTTAGACTGTTTTAAGTATTCAACAAAATGATGAATATTAACATCCCCAAGAAGGAGTAATTTAGTGTTAAGTTCAAAGATTGATCATAAAAATATTCAAATATTTCACAAAATAAATTATTGTTAAGAGATAGTGAAATGTACATCAATAAAATTATTAACTTTGTATGATTGAGAAAAATTTATTTATTTATTTATTTATTTAAATTTATTTCTTTATAGAATTTACAAACATTTTTGTTAGTTTTATGAAATGTTTTTGCACAATTTACAAACGTCGAAATTCTCTGGGTAGTGTCAGGTAGCAGTAGTTGCATCTCTTTTCTTTAGTCGAAGAGGGGAGAAAACGCACGGGGATTGTCGAAGTTTGAAGACACACACTTAAGTTCTATTTCCTAACACATACATAAATTCCTAACAATACATATACTTATAAGCTAAACATATACACACAAGACTAATGCACGCACGCACGCTTGCTTAGGGAGTTATATTCTTACTTCTCTTATATACTAACTAGCATTTTCTTTTACCGCTTGCGAGAAACAGGATCAGTCAAATAATTTATAATTTTATAAATAATAGTTGTTTGAAAATATTATTAAATAAACGAAAATTTATGTACACGTTTTAGGACAATTTTACATCCACGTTTTGGAAATATAATTATATCCATCACTCATTTTATTAATACCGTCGGCTTGGTGGAAAACTGTACCATTTCGGTAAATGTTTTTAAAACATACCATTTAGAGAAAAAAAGTTTTTTGCTTTTTTTCCAAGTTTGTCAACACTACTGCTAGACATAAAATAAGGTTATGCATTTTTAAAAAGCGGTATCTTAAATATACTCTTGTTCATCTTTTCAATGTATTAATTAAAAATTTCTAATAATTTAAATTAATTGCTTGTTAATCATTAGAAATTCTTTAATGCAACCCTTTTATAGATCTTTATCGAAATGGTATGTTTTATAACAAACTTTTGAAATGGTATAGTTTATAACGAATTCTTAAAATGGTACA